TACTACTACTACTACTACTACTACTACTACTACTACTACTACTACTACTACTACTACTACTACTACTACTACTACTACTACTACTACTACTACTACACAGTGGTGCGATGTCATGAACGCGCACCGTACTCAAGCCAATCGGAAGAGGAACAAAAACACTTGAATGTGACCGGTCTTTGGTCTAGTACGTTTCGCCCGCAGCCCCTGGCGACGGCCAGACTCACGCACGCGCCCGCCAGGCATAAGCACTATGTGCCACCGCTCCGGGAGTGGGGCGCTGAATCCTGGAACCGCTCTACGACGTGTTGCTCGACAAACGCGCTGCTCGACGAATACGTTTAGCGATGCGATCATAATCCTCCTGTGCGAAGTCGGCAAATTCTGGATAAGGTTCCAGAGAAACTGCCCCTGACGCTGCTCACGCAACTCAGTTCAATCGCGCTGCACCACCGCCATCCCGCCTGCGGCCCCATCTTTACTCCGAGCGTCGATCCAAGCCTGGGCGGTTGGAGGCGCGCCCTTCACCAGCAGGCCGCCCCTCTTATTCGGTCCCACACGGGCTCAGGCGGCCCGTCAGGTGAGGCACATCGCCTCGGCTGGTCGACCATATTTCCCATGTTTCGAAGTTTTTGAAACAAGTTGGGACCAATGTTCGCGCGCACAGCGGCGGCAAACGAGTTTAAGATCATCAGAAAGGCGTTCCAATGCAGCACCCTGCTCCTGGATACCCCGCAAAGCACAAGCCGCATGCAAACATCGCGCCGCCTGCGCGTTCGTCTTCGCACCTCTCAGCTCCACCCCCTTTCAGTAAAGGATTCCGACGTTCAGCACAGCGAAGCTCATTACCCTCGCCATGAGCTGCACGCGGTCCAAATACTTACCCGCCCGCAGCAATGAGGCCGCATTCGATGGTTTCGAAAACCTCGCCGGGGGACCCGCTGTATTTCAGCCAAGGGAAAGTTGCACGTTCAGGTTCAACTCTAGCAGCCTCCAGAAACTCACGACGGTGATGTCCCATGCGAAGCGCTAGCTAGCATCATAGTATCCCTGTCCAACCTCGCGCCCCTTCCCCTCCCGACCGACGGACCCACGATATGCTTACACAAAGACAGCGTAAACGATACAGACACAAGATCACGGGGCGATGGTCCTGCAACAGCTTGTAACCTAGCCCCCAAGCGACGAAGAACATGACATTGGCTAACTTGATCACGCATGCCTGACGGGTAAACAGGTAGTCGACGCGCGAACTTCCCAGCGTAGCTGCAGCTGGGAAGGATGCCCAGGCCGTCGCTGGCGTCGCAGAAGGTAAACGGAGCGCACCGAACTGGGAAGGAACGGAGCACGGCCTCCAGCCAGCTGATCAGCAGGCTCACCTTCTTCAGGTTACGAGGTCGCTCAGGCAGACGAGAAGGCCGAGGAGGGAAGTAAAGGGAACTGGCGCAGACATCGCACGGACCGCGCTTCACACGCACACCCTACGCCGTACCCTTAGCCTTTGCCTCAGGAGGTGAAGGCCGGGATTAGTGAATGCGCCGATATTGGATACCGTCGTCGAAGATCACCGAACAACCACAACTAGAAAAACTGAGCTGCGAATTGGGTCCGCAAGAGGCCTCCACGACCAACTGCCACGCCACGCGACGACGAGAAACGACACTGCTTGCACCTATACGACCACCCTGCGGGCGACAAGGAGGTTTGGGGGAGGGGGCCAGCAATGGGCAACAGTGGTGATTGTTGTTCTGACGATGCCAGTGGAGATTGTTGCGTTGCCGCTGGCTCTTGGGAGCCTTGCCGTCGAGTTGCTCACGTCGCCCTTCGCTCTTGGGCGCCTTGGTGCCAGCGCCCCCCCCCCCCCCCCGGGAACTACTGAAATGAAAAAATGCTGCGTTCATATAGCAAGGGCTCGGGGGCCGTTTGGGCGCGTCTTTTGGACCTCTTGGGGGGCTCTTGGGGGCCTCTTGGGGGGCTCTCGGGCGCCTCTTGGGCGCCTCCTGGGAGCCTTTCGGGGGCGGCGCGCGCTCGCTGCTTTTCGGGGCCCGCGCGGTCGAGCATCCGAACGCGCGGGCGGCGGGGGCGGGCTGGCGGCAAAGTCTGGCGCGGGCGTCCAGCGCCATCGCGATTGCCGCGACAGATAAACATAATGCACAATCATTGTTGCCTATGTGAACAACGACGGTGGCGTTCTCAGGCCCATAAGACGGGGTCGCCCACTGCGCCAGCGACGTCGGTGGAGCGAAAGGGATGACAACGACGCGGGCGCCCAAATCCAAGGCGGCCGACATCGCGACCAGCTCGTTCGCGCACTCTTTAGTTGCCAGCTTCTGCACCCAGAGTGCACGGCGCCACGGTGCGCACGGGGCCCCGGACATCCGGGCAAGCAAAGGCCGGGCATCTTGTGCTCTTCACGTCGGCCCCGAGCAGCACGGCGGCTTCGCCGCCGCAGAACTGGGCCCAGAGAGCTTCCGCCACCGCGCCCGAAGGCGAGCGACGCACGCCAGCGTCGACACACTGCTGCACACCCTGCGCTGTCAGTTGACCTGCCGCTTGACGGGCCGGAGCGTTGCCCGGCAAGGCCCGGGCCAGAACGTCCGGCCCGCGTCCGGCCAGGCCTTCTGCGAGGTATAGCCCCAGCCCCAGACCTGCGCTTCGAACTGCAACCAATTGCGCGCGCGCTGCGAGCACTGCGCCAGGACTTCGCCACCCCCCAACACTTCGCAGTCTAGAGTCTGGACCGGCTTGGCACAATGGCGGCGGAACCGCTCGAGTGCGTCGCACTTTGCGCCCTGCGCGCTCAGGCCGTTGAGAGGGAGCACCCACGCGTGCCGGAACTGGAACGACGTCTGCTCCAACGCACGGGCCACGTCAACCTCGCCGAAGCCCGCGTCGATCATGGTCGCCGCCGAAGAGGCCTCAGCCGCGGCCTCCGCCCCCGAAGCCGCGGGCCCCGGAGTACCCGTCTGCGTCGACGAGGTCATGACGCCGGAGCCGCTCTCCCCGCGGGCCGGGAAAGCCTGGCCCGGGTTCTTCTTCTTCGGTTTCTGTGCGCGGAACGAGGACGCGATGCTCCACCGGCCGGTGGCCTTGCGGCCCAATTGCTCCTCGCAGTACCGGGAGACGCTGTCACCGATAGGCGCCGCGCCCATGGCGGACAGCATCGCCCGCAGATCTGCCAGCTCAGCGCCATTAGGTTCGCGCACTTCCTACGTGATCGTGGCGGTCAAGCGCCTCTCCGCTCGAGCAGTCCAGCAAACGCGGCGTCTGCCTTGCTCTCGAACTCTGCCCTGGCGAAGAAGTCCTTCGTCAGGCGCGCGGACAGAAAGTCCGTCATGGGCGGGGGCTCGCACGCGAAAATCCATGGACCCCCGGTTTGCGACGCGGGCCCATGCCGCAAAGGCCACCCCGAGCCTGCCCACCGGGCTGGGTCTTCGACATCCAGCCAAAAAAACGATGCAGCCCTCGTGCGCCGCGATTGCCTGCGACTTGTGGATGGCGAGCGCCCACGCCAGGCGCAAGGGCACGTCGGCGCGAGCCAACGACTGCAAGGTCTTGCGCCGCCCCTCTGCGCAGGGGCCGGCACCGAGGTCCCTGGGGGGTTGCGGAAACAAGCAGGGCCCTCGCACGCGGGAAAATGCACGACCACAAAGTCAGGAACTGGGCAAGCGGGCCCCTCTCGGGGAGACGCTCCGAGGGAAGAGCTGGGATGGCCGACACCTGCGAGGGCACTCTGGCCAGTCCGCTGCCCCCCTGGGGAGGCGCGCGCGACGGCGACGACCACTCCCCGAGCCCCATTCAAGAGCCCGAGGGGCACAGTGGGGGCGATCCATAGAGAATTCTGCGCTAACATCACTCGCGCCCCCACGCGCAAGTGGATCGCCCTGACTGGAGCCCTGCGGCGGGCTCGTCAGAATGGCTTTCCACTCCGCTGCCATGCTCTTCTGCAGCGACAGGACTTCATCATCGGAGAGCTTGACGACGCGCTCGATTGCGGCCGCTCGGCACGCCCCGTCGGCCGCGCTGGCAATGCCCTGCGCCGGGCGCTCGATCGACAGCGGAAGCGGGCACGAAAGCCGTTTCTTTGTCCAAGTGGTAGGTCAACATCTTTTTGAAGTCGCAGTACCTGACCAAATTGGTCTTACCATTTGCGCCCTCCGTCAGCTCGGTCAGTAGACGCATGGTCGAGGTCACTTTGAAAACTTGATATGCTAGCACCTTCTCATCGTCGAAGGACTCCATTTTGGTTTCACTATGGCCGCGCACCAGCAGCCACACCCGGTTTGCACCGACGTCGTGGCCACCGTCGCGGCAGACTGTCAACCCTTGGAGCGGGCCCTCGACGACGCGACTCACAGGCGCCAGCAGAAAGACATCGCCGGAAACCACGGAGAGGCCGCAGCACACGCGCAAGGCAATCGTGGAAACCACTGCGTCCAGAGGCGCGATGCCCACCTCCATGATGCATCCATCGCTTGGCCACCCCATTCTCCGGGCGAGAACGCCCCGAACGTTGAACCGGCGCTCGGCGCCTGTTAAGGACTGGGCGTTAAGCTGGGCCGCCACCTCGTCAGGAATCGAGCAGTCGTAGAATGTCGGGGCGGCATCGGTGACCACGTCTACGCCCGCCCCCCCAGCGCCATCCCGAAGACGGCAATTCCGGAGGAAGAGGCGGCCGCCCTGCGCGTACATCGCGCGCCGTTGTAGCGGCGCGTCCAGGAGGCACCGGTTGATCAGAAACGCGATGGGCCGGGGGTGGGCACTCGCGTCGGCCAGCGCCACAGCGCACGCGGGGCGCGCCGGGGCCTCCATGACACTCGCTAAACGGCCACCGGAAGACGGCACCCACTGGGCGGTGAGCACCTCGGCCGACACGCTGGTGGCGTCCAAGCACGTCAAAGACTGAGCCTGATCTCCCACGGTGCTGATGCGGGCCTCTGGCCAGATGTTGATCTTCACATCGCTGTTCTCAAGCGCAGCACTGCATCCGAGCATAGCGACGCCAAACCCCGGGCGAACGCGGGCGAAGTGCTCGCACGCCTTTGGCCACGCGGCCACCACGATCTCCCCGCCGCCAGCATCCGCGAACTCCGCTTCGGCCACAATTCGGTGGTTGCCGTTCTCAAGGGCTTGCTTGGAAGTGCCGACGCCAAGGAACTTGCCGCAGAAATCGAACGCCGCCCGGCGGGTTGCACCAGTAGCACTCTCCATGAGAAGCCCAAGGATGCCCTTGATGTCCCACGCGATCTGCAGCCCCTTAGCGGGGCGCGCCAACGCTTCCAGGCTGGCGGGCGGGACTCGGGTCAGCGTGGATGGGCTGCAAAGCAAGACCACCGACTTCAACGGGCCGCCGACGAAGACCGACTTGGCTCTGGCGTCGAAGCTCGGGTTCCAGAGCTCCCACGCGGAGTCTGCCACGAATTTCTAAAGGCCTCGACTGCCGCAGTCCGATTCTGGAAACTGAAGGGCACCGCGCCGAGCACGTACTGCGCGGGCGCGTTGGACACCAAAATGCAACTTAACCTCTGCGCCTCCATTTTTTGGCTCCTCGCTGCGAACGTGTAATCAAGGACCTTCGGGTCGAGGACCTTCACGTACCACTTGGCGTACTTGGCCGTCTGGGTGGTCATGTTCTTCAGCGTCTCCACATTCTTGTCGAGCATTTCGGCTGGCAAAACCTGGCCCCTCGCAGCGAGGCCGAAGGAAGTGCGTGACCGAAGTGGGTGCGTTCGCGCCCCCCCCGCGTGCCGAGTGCAACAGAAGCCTGGAGCCGAAATCCCTGAATGGTGCGAGAGTTGAGAGGGGGAAGGACTCAACGTCTCACTCAATCGATCTGACACTGGACCCCATTATCGATTTCACAATCGATCTCACTCGGTCGATCACACGATCGATCTCACTCGATCGATCTTATTATCGATCTCACTATCGATCCCACTCGATATGGGAGCCTTTGTGTTCAGAGATAGTTGCGCTTCGGGCTCGCTCTTGGGAACTTTGGTGTCGAGTCGTTTACGTCACCCTTCGCTCTTGGGCGCCTTGGTACCATTCCCCCCCGGGAACCACCGAAATAATAAATTGTCGCGTTCGTTTTGCAAGGGCTTTGGGGGCAGTTTGGGCTCGTCTTTTGGACCCCTTGGGGGGCTCTTGGGGGCCTCTTGGGGGGCCTCTTGGGGGGCCTCTTGGGGGGCCCCTTGGGGGCCTCGTGGGAACCTTTTTGGGCTTCTCGGGGGCCTCTTGGGGTCTCCTGGGAGCTTCTTGGAGCGACCCTGAAGAGCCTGTTCCGCCAACGTTCGTACTGGGAGCCTTGGTGTTCAGAGATTGTTGCGTTGTCGCTCGCTCTTGGCACAGCATACAGCACGGGATGTCGATGTGCCTGACGATTTGTATCTGCATTTGCTTATCGAGTGCATGTCGATTTGCTTTTCGATCTGCATTTCGATCTGCATTTCGATTTGCATCTCACTATCGGTCTCACTATCGATCCCACGATCGATCTCACGATCGACCATACTATCGATCGCACTCGATCGATCTCACTATCGGTATCACCCGATCGATTTCATTGTCGATATCACTCTCGATCTCGTCTTCGGTCCCACTGTCGATCTCACGATCGATATCACTCCATCGAGCTCACTATCGCTCTCACTATCGATATCACTCCGTCGAGCTCACTATCGCTCTCACTATCGATCTCTCTATCGATCTCACTCGATCGATCTCACTATCGATCTGAATCAATCGCGATCTCACCATAGATCCCACTATCGCTCTCACTATCGCTCTCACTATCGATCTCACCATCGATCTCACCCGATCGATCTCACTATCGATGCCACTATCGATTTCACAATCGATCTCACAATCGATCTCACTATCGGTCTCACTATCGTTTTCGCACCAGCGGGACACCAAGACGCCAGCGGGACACCCGCGGGACACCGGCGGGGCACGGCGCGGCCCCGTTTGCCAGTCGGGAAACATTTGGTCCGGTCGCGCCTCAGCCACGGGAGACTTACCGGGACACCAGCGGGACACCAGCGGGACACCGGCGGGACGCCGCGCGGCCCCGTTTGCCGGCCGGGAAAAATTTGGTTTGGCCGCGCCTCAGCCACAGGAGACTTTCCTCTCGCCCGCCCACGCAGCTTCGCCTCGCCCGCAAGCACAACACGCACGAACACGAAACCGAAACCGATTTCCAGGTGGGGGGCTCTCCGTTCCATTTCGATCTCACCCCCAACCTCCGATACTGCTGTCGACGATCCTGATTTGGGGCGCCTGCAACGATGATGAGATCGTAATTCCGCGTTTCCAGAATAACCCCCTCCAAGCGAGACCCCGAACATCACGTTGGGTTCCATCGGAGAAGGCGAAACTGCGTCATCGCCCGCCGACCAGCCACCGCATGAGGGAGGTAGGGCAGCAATGTGCACGCCTACTGGGAGTGCGTGTGGCACCCTACCAGAGAAATGACCTCCATGCCTACTGGCCCACCCACGCGCCGATGGGGCCTCGGGCCCGTGGGCTGGAGAAGGAGGAGGGGGATAAGGAGGAAATGGAGGAGGAGGTGGAGGAGGGTAGGAGGAGGAGGAGGAGGAGGAGGAGGAGGAGGAGGAGGAGGAGGAGGAGGGTAGGAGGAGAAGGTAGGAGAGGAGGAGTAGAGGAGGAGGTAGAGGAGGGTAGGAGGATGTGATGATGATGATGATGATGATGAGGAGGAGGAGGAGGAGGAGGAGGAGGAAGGGAGGAGGATGGAGGAGGAGGTGGAGGAGGTGGAGGAGGGCCTCCCTTTGCCCGCTTCCCTCGGGGCCCGCCCGCTTCCCAGCGGCTCCTCCCCGCCGGCCCACACCAGAGGCCGGGAGCCCGCACAGCTCCGCGGGGTGGCCTCCTGGCCCGCGCAGGCAGGAGCCATCGCGGCGCCCGGGCGGCGGTGCCATCCGCGCGCGCCGCCGCGGGGTGGCGCCACGGCTGGTCGGCAGCGCGCGGGCGCGCGCGCCCTCCTCCTCCTCCTCCTCCTCCTCCTCCTCCTTCTTCTCCTCCTCCGCCCCTCCGCCTGCGCCTGCGCCCGCATCTCCGCCTTCTCCTCCGCCGCCGCCTGCGCCTCAACCTCCTCCTCCTCCTCCTCCTCCTCCTCATCATCATCATCATCATCACCATCATCATCTGCATCATCATCATCATCATCATCATCATCATCATCATCGTCATCATCATCATCATCGTCATCATCATCATTATCATCATCATCATCAGCATCATCATCATCATCATCATCAGCATCATCATCATCAGAAGCTTCATCATCATCAGCAGCATCAGCACCAGCATCAGCATCAGCATCAGCATGCGTCTTCTGAGAAGCCGTCTCTGTCTTCAGAGAAGGCTCAGACGGCTTCTCAGAAGGCGCGAAGGCTTCTGAGAAGGCGCGAAGGCTTCTGAGAAGCCCTGCCGCCTTCTGAGAAGGCCTGACCCCTCTCAGATTCCCCTGGCGCAGAACATGCGCAGGTAACTGGAGCCAAGAGCATGCATCCAGAGCGCACACCAACCGCAGGGCAGCAAGAGCAGACAGCAATGGAGAACATGCATCACATGCATGTTGACGCAGTGACGCTGAGTGGCAGGGATCGCTGGAATCAACATGTGTTCAGTTTTCACCGCTGCCATGGTGGAGACGGGGCTCGAGCTGCAAGACATTGCGGCGGGCTTGTGTCGCACGACCTCAGCTCTGGTTCCTGACACCGCGTGGGCGGTTCAGCCTTAAACGATCGGCAGCTCTTCGATCACCAGATCGGTCCATATTGGCCGATTCTGGGCCACCGGCGGCGTTCAACCATGAACGCCGCCGCCGGGGTCGCAGCAGTGACAACACGACACGAACCTGCCGTACCGCGTTCAGACTTGAACGCCCACGCTGGGGTCGCAGCAGCTTCGGCACAACACGAACGTGCCGCACTCAAACGCCCGAAGAGACGCCTTTCACCTTGAAGCGCGACTTGCTCCCTCCTGCCGAGCGGAGCCAGCGCGGAGCGGATCAAGTACGGCACCCAAAGACGTGCTCCGCCGACTTGACCCAGGACAGCGATGTGCCGATCGGCTCCAAGAGGCTTGCCGGCGAATCAACGAAGCGGCCCTTACCCAGCACGTATCACGTACCCCGTGAAGAAGTCCGACTGGATGGGATCGGAAGATCTCGCCGCATCGCGGATGCATCGCCGATGTACTGCAAAAAAAAAAAAAAAAAATGCGTCGGCGACGTCGGCGATGCAGCGGCGCCGCTGGCGTGGAGACGGCCGGGATCCACATCGAGCCAGACCGCCGGTGCATCGCCGATGCGGCGCGATCCTCGGACCTGGGGAGGCACGAGTTTACGGGAAACAGCCTGTCGTGCGTGGGGCACCTAGAAACTCGGGCCACGCAGCGTTTTTCCGCTAGAGACGGTATCACAAACATATTGGCCGCTTACAAACGCCCAGCAACACAACGAATGCTTTTTTTTTTCTGCTGAGTTAGCAATCGAAGAGCGCGCACCGACGCAACTTTCATTGCGACCGAACGCGCCAACGAGCGTTGAAACCGCAAGCGCGCGCCCGACCGAGTCAATCTCGCGCTGCAACGCGCGCGCCCGATCGGAACAGCAGGACGCAAGAGCACCGCGCAAAACGTCGAGCCTCAACCGAAGCGGACGCGCGAGTGCGCACCGAAGACACAGCATCGCGCCATTTCGCTCGAGCGCACGCCTTGACGACACACGGCACGACTACACGCGGGCACAGTTAGAGTCACGGCGCGTCGCGGCACGGCACTTGGGCACGGCACGCCGCGCTGTCGTTGTCGTCGTCCCCGTCGTCGCCGTCGTAATCCCTCCCCGCGTCGTCGGCGTCGACTTCATCGTCCCCATCCTCCTCCTCCTCCTAACCCCGCATTCGCCCATCTTCCTCCTCCGTTTCATTTTACTCCTACTACTACTCCTACTCCTACTCTTCCGACTCCTACTCCTACTTTGCCCCCCATCTTCCTCTTACTCCTAGCTCCTCCTACTGCTCCTACTCCTACTCGTAATCCTTCCTCCATCCTACTCCTACTCATAACTCCTCCTCCATATTCCTGCATCCATCCTCCTCCTCCATTTCTCCATGAGTATGTTCATTCCCCATATGGTCTTACCACCCTCCCATGGTCATCATCCTCATTTTCCCCTTCGCCTCCCTCCTCTTCCCTCAGCCCCGTTTCCGTCGTCAACCTCATCCGTCCCGTCACCGTCCTTATCGTCGTCATTGTTGTCGTTGTCCTCCTCCTCCTCCTCCTCCCGCTCCTCACCCTCCCCGTTGGCATCGCCATCCTACTCCTCCCGCCCCTTGTCCTCATCCTCGCGACACTGTGGAGTCAGACTTAAGCCCCCAAGACGCCCGCAAGAGACGGCAACAACCCGAACAAGGATCCCAAGAGGCTCCTGAACGGCCCCCTCAAACACATCACATTGCAGCGAAGAGGTCCCCGAGAGGAACCCCCACGACACCCCACAGAGCATCCAAGATGGCCCAACCCAGACACGATGGCGTGAAGTGCCGAAGGCTTGTAAACATGAGAGTGCAGGTGCCACCCGAGCGAAGCTCAAACATAATAACAAGAACAGACTTGATGAGACAAAACTGTGGTTCTCCGCCTCTGGTGCGACACGTCTGGCTGGGTGTCGGGCTGGGCGTCGGGCTGGGCGCCGAGCTGGGCGTCGGCTCACTCCACGAAGTATTTATCGAAGAGGGCCCCCCTCTCCGTCCACATGGCCCTGCCCGACTTCGACGCGAAGTGCGTCTGGTTACACAACCGAATGGCCCCACGGACATTCGCAGGAAGCGGCTCCACCAACTTATCCGAGAAGATATTGGCCACGGCAGCGAAACCGTAGGCATCCTTAGACACGTCGTCGATCTGAGATTTGGCGGTCGCTCTCACGCGACCCTTGGGTTTGGACTTGGCGTCGCCATCCTCGCCAGCCTTCGTGTCGGAAAGAATCGAGGCCATCGCGACGAGCGACCAGTACCAGCCAGCAGGCACGTAGGCAACGTCGCCGTCGTACAGCATGATCGCGGAGCCCGCCTTCATGCACTCCACGCCCGATGGCGTCTGCTGGTGCGACTCGTAGTCGGCCACGGTGATTCCCATGTCGAGGAAGGACTTCATCTCCACCGCGTGGATCAGCAGAGGGCCCGCCGCCGCGTAGATGAGGCACGGGACGCCAGGCAGTGGCACATTCGCTGGGTGCATCCTCATCGCATCCATCTTGGCGCCCACGATCCACATCTCGGCTCCCCTGGACTGTACATCCTTCGCGTCGAACGGCAAAATGGTATCCAACGCAGTAGGCCAACAATCCGTCATCCTGCCGAGCGCCCCTGGCCAGTTCGCGTGGTTCCTGAGCTCGGCCGTCACGGACTCCACCTTGCTCTTCAGGAAGGTCTCGAAGCTTGGGCCGAACATGTTCATGATGTTGTGCCAGAGGGCGGTCTCCTGGCTGTCGACGGTGGCGTTGCCTTTCGTCCAGACCGCCACTTTGGTGGTATCGAACTGCACCTCGATTGGGTTATCCTGGGTCCGCTCGCGCAGGGCAACCTTTGCAGGGCCTCCCTCGCCAACAACCTCGGCGGCAGTAGTAAGTATGTCGGTGAAGTGCTTGGCGAACGGAGCTGGGGCGCCCCCCTTGACCAAAGCTTGGGACATCTTCTCCTTCTTCCACCTCCTAACCTGGTACATGGACCTCTCGTTGGATGTCGCCTTCTTGAGCTTGTGCTGCAAGTGATCTTGGAGGGCGACTGCCTTGGTTACCGCATCGGTCTTCTGCTTCAGCATGTTAGTGTAGGCATCTTGGAGCGCGGGCGCCTGCTCCTTCTTGGCGTCAGGGATCTTGCTCCTCTCAGTCTTGCACGCGGCAACCACGCGCTGGAGGTCTTCCTGAACCGAGGCGAAGTCATGGGGCAGGTCTGTGAAGGTCAATTTCTTGTCCTGGACCTTCTGGTGAGCCGCCTCCAAATGCTCCAGGACCCCGATCCCCATCCGCTTCGAGCCGTCGAGCTCCTCGATGATGGCTTGGAGAGCGCTGTCAATCGCATCCTTCTCATCCAGAAAGGTCTTCTGGCCCATGGGCGGCGTGCGAGTGATGCCTTTCTGGCCCTGCGCCCCCGCTGGCGAGCTCATGGGAGTCGCTGAGCCCGACGAAGCCAAGTCTTCCTGGAGTCGCCTGACGTTGCCCTCCGTCAATGAAGGCCTCCTCGTCAAGGTGCTCGTTGCCCCCTTCGGGCGGTCCGCAATCGCGCTGGGGCCCGCATACCCTGCGGCCGCACCACGGCCGTAGCTGCATCCTGGGCCGTCCGCCATGCGCTTCACACTACGGCACTCCACCCCCGCCAACTGCCGAGAGACTTCGGGGGCTTCGATTGCAATGCATGCCTCGCCCTTCGCGTTCGTCATCGGGTTCTCATCGTACTTGGTGTCCCAGTCGACGCTGGCCTCGTCTTCGTCCATGCCCCTCAAGCGCGCGTCCTTGTACTGCTGCTTGGTGTACTTCATCACATCGCTGAGGACAAGGTGTGCGCTGCGCTCGATCTCCTCGTTGTATGCGTCGATCTGCTGCGATAGCGTGTCCCTGGCGATGGCGCGGTCGTTGTGTGCCAGCGCTGTGTCGAATGACTGTAGACCTGCACGCCACTGCTCGGGATCCGATGCCATGATGTCCAACTCGCGCCTGAGGCCGTTAGGCTTGCCCAAACAGATGCGAGTGCGAGCCCGAACTGGATTCCAACACGGCGAAGCGTGGAACGTGTAGCCGTGCCACTTCTTGATGTGGTCGGTTGGAGTGCAAGGCTGCAAGCATGCGAAGCACTGGGCGGGGCTCTGCGGCGAAGAGCGGGCCGACGCTGCGGCGGAGGACGCCCTCCTGCGTTGAGCTGGCGGTGGGAACGCCGCGCTCGAAGCTACC